ACACTGTTTCAGACTTACCAGGATTAGGAGGACAATTTAAGTGACCTTTATAATCAGGGTCAAAATAGATATGACGACATCCTCATCTCTGCCCTGGGGCTGTTGCCGCCATTTTAAGTGATTTAAGAGTGCAGTGAGATCTTGAGATCTTGACCAGGCCCACAGTGCAGCAGGCTACGGTGCAGTAGCTCCCCACCCCCAATGATTTTTCAAATGCTGAAACACCGGCCCTCCTCTCCTGGCCTTTTTCAGCACTTGAAAAGGCATGTGATAAGGAGGACAAGAGCATCTCAGCCCACCACTTGAGCCCTCCTGGCATTTTAAAAGTATTTTAAAAGGGTGTCAGCACACTCATTGCAGACTCAAGGATGCCATCACGTATTATTTGTCACTCAGGCGTGGCTGTGAGAGACCCACTTTTCCTTGATGGGATTTTACGCAGTTGCCTGCTGCATGTGAACGATACTATGGTTGTAGCCAGGGTGGGGCCACTAGAAACACCACTAAAGGCACTGGGCTTGTACCACCCAAGAATTTGCAGAAAAAGTGGTAATTTAAGTCTGTGATATCAAAAACTTCCACCTCATAATGAGAGGTTTTTTTAAATCTGCAAAAGATAAATAGACATACTGACGACTGATGCCAAGCAAAAATAGTAATGTCCCAAACTCCAGCTGCCCATCTCCAAGTGCCCAAATCAGCTTTTAAAATAAATATGCTGCCGCCCAACCTGATTCTTCAGTGGTATGATATTTACCTCATACTGTCTTATTTTTCTGGACATCAAACTCAACATATTCTGAACTTGGTTCTTGATCACATCCTTTCCCTATTTCTTTTAGATGTTTACAGAGTTTTAATTTAAACCGCCACCCAATCCTAAGCAATCAGGAAGCTTATACGCTTTTCACAGTGCCTTCGCTTTTGACTTCTCTTACCTTTTTCTTGCCTTCCCAGCACCTCTCCTTCAGTCCATAAGAACATTTTAGAAACAACTCAGATTTCCAATCAAATGACATTATTCTCATTGCTCCACTCAAAGGAAGATTTCCAGACTTATCCATCCATATGCTACTGAACAATCAAATCTCCCACATAAAATCCATCAGTTCTCAACTGGGGTTAAATCAAGATGGGTTCGTCTTGTTTCCTTTCCCTGTTCTCAAAGTAGTCCCATCCCTACGACAAATTCAAAATTATACAGTTTCCTCACTCTCAAAGACATAGGGCCAATTCACATTTCACTTTTCGGCTAGTATGGAACAATTCTGTGCTTTGTGATGTGCCTGCGACCCTGCATAGATCTGTTGGTGCTGCATGGTAAATGTGTGCCCTGACCTAAATGGCCCAGACTAGCCAGCTCTCTTCAGATCTCAGAAGCTAAGCAGGGTCAGCCCTGGTTAATTTTTGGATGGGAGACCACCAAGTAAGTCCAGAGTCACTACACAGAGGAAGGCAATGGCAAACTACCTCTGTTAGTCTCTTGCCTTGAGAACCAGTTGGCTGCAACTTGATGGCACTTTGCACACGCCCACACACACAGTGAACACGTCGTTAGGTTAGGTGTTACTAGCCCATCATATTGCAATATTTTAAGTCTAGGCTTTTTATTAGCTTTGCTAATGAGAAAATTCTGGATTGTAAACAGACAAACAAGCATGATACATCTGTTTCAGATTTCCGCTTGGTTTCAGATTCCTGCCATTCAAATGCTATCGCACAGTTTATTGGATGTCCCATCCTATTGATGGTATTGACATACACGGTGTAATCTGTTTTGAGTCTCAGTGAGGAAGGTGGACTATAAAAACATAAATAAAATTGCATTTTGTTTCTGTCAGTAGATGGCAAATTCACTCCTATGCCACTGCTCAGCTCTGTTTTGTTTATTTGCAATTTTGTACCATCCATGGATAATACAAATAGATAATGTGGGCACCTCCCCTTACCTGCCACAGAACAATGACAACACAAAGACTCTTGAGTGAAATCAGTGAAGCTCACAGTTTTATCTGATGCATCCTAGAATGACTAAAAGCAAATACTAACCCCTCCAATGACTCATGCCCAATAGTTGCTGAAGGCAAGGGGAGCATTTCTTTCTGTTTGAATAGTTCATCTGATTAGCCCAAATGAAATTGCTTTGACTAATCATTATGTTTTCAAGAATGATTCACACACAGTTTACAACCAACAGAGGGCAATGAGACCAGACAAAAGAGGTTGCTACTGCTGCCACATGTCCACAAAAGTTCTCTTAAAGTTTTAGAAAGCCTTCTGAAGGTCACTGCAGAACAGAACATTACAGGTTTGGATACAAGGTGCTTAAGCTGAGATGATATTAATTAGAAAGGGCACATCTATATTTCCAGGGATTAATTTGCTTTAAATGTCTGTTTCCTTTTTTGCACATGTTGACAAATACAAAAGATGTGCTAGTGATAAAAATATAGTCTTACAGCATGCTCGTAAACAAGCACGTTGACTCTGAAGTGAGTCATGCTGATTTCACAGTTTACAACTTAGTATCTGTGTTTAGAACTGAATCCTTGCAGTGAAATCCTAGAGTCACATCCTTCTAAGCCAATTGATTTCAAGCTTTGACTCTCAAAAACTTCTACTCTGAAAATTTTGTTTGTCTCTAAGGTGCCACTGGAATCAAACCTAGTGATTCTAAACTGAGTTACATCGTTCTGAGGACATTTTAATCAATAGGCTTAGAAAGGTATAACTCTGCTCAGGATCTCACTGTAAATTAGCATGTATAACTCTGCTAAGCATCACACCATAAATAAGTTTATTTACCTTGGGGGGGGAACCTACTTTAAACGCCTCTGTTTTAAGGTATTTGGGTCAAGACATGCATGTCTCATATAAGACTCCTGAGCCCATGTCTACTCTTGAATGTTTTGAAATTACTTCTGTTTTTAAGAATTACTATTCCCACAGAAAAGTCCTCAAGCCATGCAACAGAAAAGAACTGGGGGGAAACGTTCATGCACCAATTTTTGCATTTAAATGCCCCAAAATTAACATAAAAATTCAAATGATCCTTTTTTCCAGGCTCTCAACTTCCGATTTAAAGTGAAATCCAGAAACAAAAATCACACAGTACCTTTGATTTATTTTATTATGGTATTACTTGCATTTGGTTTTTAGATTTTACTAGTGACCAATATGGTGACGTATTTTTTCCCTCCAAGTCTGAGGTCACCTCGGCACCCTATCCATTTATAGATCATGATTTGAAATTTATTAGTAAGTCATTATTTCATCTCCAAACGTATGCAGCTATTTTCTATAACCAGATGCCCTTCAGCACATTACACATGAAATGAAAACAATTTAAACAAGCTAAAGTTACATTAAGTTAAACAAAGACAAATCTGATAAATTTGTGACTAGTGCTATCTCTGAGCCACATGCAATACATTAAATAACGCAGATAAACAATGTCTCCATAAATGCAACAAAAATGTTAAATAGTATAAATGAAATTGGGAGGCCTTAGCTCAGTAGCAGAGAATATGTTTTGCATACAGAAGACCCCACGTTCAGTCCCTGACTTCCCCATGTGCCAATCTGTACAGAATGAGGCTAGAGGTACCAACCTTAAGTTAAAGCCTGGATAGGGCTGCAAGGCCACAGGCAGCAACCCTGTGAGCAATTGTGAGGAATGGCGTGACATGTTGGTGTAACTTCTGGTAGAAACCAAAACTGACATTAGGGTTTTCATGAATTTAAAGCTCCTACAACATCATTTCCCGTTTTTACCAAAAGTGACATCAGCACACTGGCACACTGCTGGCATGCGTTCCACACCACCCCGCATTTGTTTCCTACTGGTGACGAGGAACTGGCAGGGAAAGAAGCAAAATGCTACACGCATGTTAGCAGGGCAACACACACATTACTTCAAGTCTGGTGGAAATAAAACTGGAAGTGGACCTTGGAGACTGGGTTCCAATCCCACCTTAGTCACAGACTTGTGGACAGAATCCAACGAAAGCAAAATACATTTAGAGTTAAAACTGTGTCTAACTCTCTTCCATTATAGAACAGAAATAGCAAGTCAATAAATACAACAACAGAAATAATTAAAACTATGAAACACATTAGAAATTGCACACTATTTGCTTTCATGTTTGTTTCAATGGGGAACACATTTCTACCTGTCAAACTTTTCTCCTGAGGGAGAGAGGGACACAAATCCAAAGACTTTCAAGTTCCAAGGCTCATTATTGACACAAACAAACCATGGTTTGCTCATGCCTCCTGAATGCTGTGAACATCTAGGTTGTTTACAGACAGCTAAGTTCCAAAAAGGTAACCATGTTAGTCCGCATCAGCAAAAAACCACAGAGTTTTAGGGCACCTTAAAGACTAACACATTTATTGTGGTAGAAGCTTTCAGGAACCAGAACTTGACAAAGTACATGAAACTTATTTGAAGCACTCAGACATTTTCCACCTGCAGAAACCTATTTTAAACAGAGCTTACGAAAAGTCATTCAACAGATTTGTGGTCAACACGTATCATGATTGATCAGCTTTGTTCCCTATTTGTTTCATGGTTGACTGAGGTGCTCTTGTTCTGTTATGAATGGGAGACTATCACACAGGCCTTGACCTAATTAAAACTGAGTGATCTGGCCAGCCTTATTAACATCAAAACTGCAGGAGGAGGCATAACATTTTGAGATGGAAGAGAAGACTTTCAAGACAATCTGGCCTTTCCTAACACACCCATTACTGCTAATTCACGTTTAGTCTTAGATTGAAGGGGATTTATAAGCAGTAAATATTAATATCTACCACAGTCAAAAGCACCCCTGCTTCTTAGTGGCTGATAAAAAAATGTCTTTTCATTATAATGTATTGAATGATTTTTCCTTTAAAAGATCACACTTGGACATTCACTGGCAGAACACAATGGGAAAGCTCCTCTAATGCTAGAGGATCTAGGGGACCTTTCAGGCCCTAAAGACACTGCAACTTACCAAAATCCACAAGTTTAACACCTCCTTCAGTGGTCAACAGAATATTATTTCCTTTGATATCACGGTGGATGGTTTTGTTTTTGTGCAAGTGCTGAAGTCCCTGAAGTTTCATTTGTAATATGGAAAAAAGAGGAAACTGTCAAAATACACTTTATTTATTAAGCAGAGATACAGCTACACTAAAAAATGCAAGTGGTATCATTAATATACAAAGGACCCAAACCATGATAATTTATGGAGGAAAAAATTAATACTCTCAAGCATTTCCCAAGCCTGTCCCATTTTTATCCCAACCTTTTCCCATGCAATCCCCATTTAATCCTGCTAAGACCCATGGGAAGCAAATTAGGCTGAGAGAGAAAAAGGGTATATGACCAGCCTAAAGCTCTGCTGTTAAGAGAAGATTTGAATCCAGGTCTCCCCAGATCTGAGCTAAAATTCCAACAACTATGTCTCTCAAGGCAGTGGCATTTATAAATTCACAGGCCCAATTTACCATGCTGAGGTGGGAATGCAATGATAAATTGAAAAAGGTGCACCAACACAACACCATGGAGACTGGTATTATTTTGGCATCACAGGAAATTATATTTGGTCATGATGTCCAGCTGTTTCCGGTATGTGCCCTGTTGCTCTTATACATGCATTTTCATTGCCTTGTGTTGACTTTTGTAAGCAAATTTCACAGTGATTTATTCAAAGGAAAGCACAAACAACTACAGGGGAACAAAGAGATGGGGCTGTGGCTCTGTATACAGCAACTGTACAATGTCCAAGGTTCTAGTCTCTGGCATCTCCAGTTAAAAAACAACAACCAGGCAGTAGGTGATGCGAAAGACCAGAAACCCTGGAGAGATGCTGCCAATGGTCTGATTTAACAGTAGGCAGCTCCATGGGTTCATTGTTCAAAATATTGCCCGATATGAAACCATTTTCCTTAAGAGGGGGAAAAATGGTTCCAACCTACGGCTACACACAGAGAGAACCTTGTCAAACACTGGGGAATTTCAGACAGGCGATAGATTCCGGAAGGGAACCGGTTCTCAAACAGGTTCTGGTCTGTCATTTCAGACAGAACCCGTTTGAGAACTGGTTCCTTTCCCTTAATTCACTGTTAGACTGAAGCCAAAATGAAGTTGCCATATTTTAACAAGGTGTTTACTTACCATGAGTGCTTCATGTAAAATGTAAGCAACCAGAACTTCACTCATCCTTTCGCCTCTCTTTAAAAATCCTTTCACCAGGTCAGTCACAGAACCTCCATTGCATAACTAGATCAGAAAACGAGTTTTTTTAAAAAAGGAAAGTCATTATCACATGTCCTGGTTTTCAGTAGATTCCATATCCTAAGAAACAAATCAGCTCATAACCCATTTTTAATTGATTCATTTTTAAAATAGTTACTGTTTATCCTTACCCATAGGTTCAATGTGGGTCATGGCAATTTCAAATAAAACTGAGTATATCATGGTCCCAAAAGCATTCAAAATCCAAGTTATGTATATATTAAAAGTCAATGGCTATTGTATTATGTATTAAAACAAATCAAGGCACAGTAAAAGTTAAACACTTCAAGCTCACTTCACTTCAGCGGGGGGACATTATGTACATGCTTAACTGTACCACTGAAATATATGAGCATGAATACCCACACATCAAATTGGATAATTGTATATAAGAGGTAGGAGCAGCGGTGGCTCAAGTGGTTAAGACGCTGAACTGCAGGCTGTGGAAGGTCAGTAGTTCAGCAGTTCGAGACCCGGGTGCCGCATGATGGAGCGAGCTCCCATCTCTAGTTCCAGCTCCTGCCAACCTAGCAGTTCGAAAGCAAGAAATTGCAAGTAGATAAATAGGTACCACTTT